TTTGTTGGAGATGGGCCGTTGAGGGGGGGGCATGGTGGTGAGGTTGATGGTGACCGGTAAAAAAAAAAAGGGGCGTGGTTGTGCTAAAGGAACCCAGTTGGTATTGCTTGGGTTGGTTTTTCTTCGGTATGGTGAATCGGGGTCTTATTGATCATCTCTTCTAGAGGGGACAACAGTACAGGTGGGACTTTGTTTGCAGAGAGAGGGAGGGAGCATATCTGGAGTTTATTACACAGTAATTATCACGTCTTTATTACGAGTTGTTGAAAGAGAGAACTAACTTACTTTACTTAACTTTACCGTTTGTAAGAATAATGTCAGATGGTTGTCTGGTTTTGGACCGACATCAAGACACAAATATGGCAACACCAAGACACCAGACAGGAACAATCAAAACAAAACAAGATGTTGGGTCACCGCCAGAGAATATAATCATCGGGACGAGTTACCGTCTCTCTCTCTCTCTCTCTCTCTCTCTCACTCTCTCTCTCAACCCGAAGATATCCCGAAGCAAGTGCTCGGCTGAGTAGATCGTAAGATAAATTCATGCAGGTCCGGCTTGCCGGGAGATGCAAGGAATGAGAGAAGGATCAAAAGGGACGGTGTTCCGGACGAACAAGCAAAGTTGAAGCTTGTTCCGGGTGGGTTGATGATCACTGAGGGATGTGAATCGTCAGTTCGGCCGAGGATTAGCCACAGCCGGCATTTTGCCATACGCGACACCGCTTTTTGTATCTAGGAGTTTGGTTGTTTTCGCGTAGATACTCCGGGCGGCAGGTTGAAGAGGCTCATCTCGGCAGCGCGGGCGGTGTCCTGCCGTTGATTGAATTGCCACCCCTGCCTGTTGAGAGGGGGGAGGGACTCGTGATCGATAAACTTGAAGAGTTTCCCCGAGGTTTACCCAGCCGGAAGGGCGCGCTTTAACCTTTGCGGCCCGGGATTCCGAAAAGCGGGCTGTGGGTTGGGAGAAAGTTGATCAGTTGGTGGAGGGGGAAAAGTGTTGGTGGGGTTTTGCGCGGGTTTTAAAGGATAATATCATTTTGTGGTTCACATGAGATGTGTTGTTGTTGAAGAGGGGTTTCGAACGGGGCAGTCTTTTTCATGAGAGAGAACAGTGCAGGGCTGGGTCTTTTGCGGCTCTACGAGAAAGCCTTGCTGTAAGGTACGGGAAACAAAAACTGGGGTTTGCTGCTGCTGCCGGGGGTAGGACCGTTTCGACCGTCTTTCTGGAATCACTGGGCGAATGCCAAAAGTCCGGATCTTTCTTTGCTTTCCTCCGACGCTTGAGGCTGGGCGGGGGGTTGTGATTGGGTTACGGATATGTGTGTGATCGTGGGAAAGGGTCCCCCCTCCCTCTCCGCTTCCACGGGATCTGCAGGTCACTTTGTGAGGAAACACAATCACAATGTTACCCCCATGCCCCATATCTCCTCCATCTTGTTGTTGCTTGAGCTAACACGCAAGAAAACTGATATTACCCCGCGGTGGAGAAGCAGACAAACTGGGGTCCTTGACCCGGTCTTACAGCGGTATGCGTGCCATGATGCAAGTGCGCAACGCGGCTAGGTACAAACCCGCCCATCTCAGCCTATGCCTAGCCTTTTTCTCGGTGTCGACGGTCCGAAACACGGGAGAATGGGGGGGACAATGGGAGGAGTAACGGCCATGAAACCCATGGCAGCATATCAGAGGTTTGTGTATATATAACACATGTCCTCCCCCCCCCCCCCCAAATCTGTGTTGGCTGCTTGAGAGATTCTGTCTTCAACCTACACCTCCCCCAGAAACAAAAGAGTTAGCTGCCCATCATGTCTCTTCCCAGTGATTTCCTGTGGGGTTTCGCTACCGCTGCGTGAGTTTGTCCCTCATCCACCTCTTATCTGCCTTACCTACCTCATCAGCATGACTAACGTTGTTCTCCCTCACACACAGGTACCAGATCGAGGGTTCCGCTGATGTCGATGGCCGTGGCCCCTCCATTTGGGACACCTTCTGTGCCATCCCCGGCAAGATCGCTGATGGCAGCTCCGGTGCCGTCGCTTGTGACTCGTACAAGCGCACCAAGGAGGACATTGACCTCCTGAAGTCGTTGGGCGCCAAGGCCTACCGCTTCTCCATCTCCTGGTCCCGCGTCATCCCCCTCGGTGGCCGCAACGACCCCGTCAACCAGAAGGGTCTTGACCACTACGTCAAGTTCGTCGACGACCTCCTCGAGGCCGGCATCACCCCCTTCATCACCCTCTTCCACTGGGATCTCCCCGACGCCCTCGACAAGCGCTACGGCGGCTTCCTCAACAAGGAGGAGTTCACCGCCGACTTTGAGAACTACGCCCGCGTCCTCTTCAAGGCCATCCCCAAGTGCAAGCACTGGATCACCTTCAACGAGCCCTGGTGCACCTCCATCCTCGGCTACAACTCTGGCTACTTCGCCCCCGGCCACACCTCTGACCGCACCCGCTCCGCCGTCGGCGACAGCGCCCGCGAGTGCTGGATCGTCGGCCACAACATCCTCATCGCCCACGGCAAGGCCGTCAAGGTCTACCGCGAGGAGTTCAAGCCCGTCAACGGCGGCGAGATCGGCATCACGCTGAACGGCGACGCCGTCCTCCCCTGGGACCCCGAGGACCCCGCCGACGTCGAGGCCTGCGACCGCAAGATCGAGTTCGCCATCTCGTGGTTTGCCGACCCCATCTACTTTGGCAAGTACCCCGACTCGATGCTCAAGCAGCTCGGCGACCGCCTCCCCACTTTCACTCCTGAGGAGGTTGCGCTCGTCAAGGGCTCCAACGACTTTTATGGCATGAACCACTACACGGCCAACTACATCAAGCACAAGACCGGCACCCCTCCCGACGACGACTTCCTCGGCAACCTCGAGACGCTCTTCTACTCCAAGAGCGGCGAGTGCATCGGCCCCGAGACGCAGTCCTTCTGGCTCCGCCCCCACGCCCAGGGTTTCCGGGACTTGCTCAACTGGCTGAGCAAGAGGTACGGCTACCCCAAGATCTACGTCACCGAGAACGGCACCTCGCTCAAGGGCGAGAACGACATGAGCCTGGAGCAGATTGTCGAGGACGACTTTAGAGTCAAGTACTTTGACGACTATGTCCACGCCATGGCCAAGGCCTTCTCAGAGGATGGCGTCAACGTCCGGGGTTACCTGGCCTGGTCGCTGATGGACAACTTTGAATGGGCTGAGGGGTACGAGACGAGGTTTGGTGTGACGTATGTCGACTATGAGAATGATCAGAAGAGATACCCCAAGAAGAGCGCCAAGGCGATGAAGCCGCTGTTTGAGAGCTTGATTAAGAAGGAGTAAGAAGGGGTTCGTGAAACATGGGATGGATGGGTGGAATAGCGAGCATTGATAGTTTTTCCTTTTTTTTTCTTTCTTTTTTTTGGATGTATGTATGACATGGAATGGAAATGTCCTCCCCAAAGGGAAGAGGATGATGAGATGAAGATTGATGGGTAGTTGATTACCTGGTCCTTGATGTGTGAATGTGAATGTGAAGATGAAACGACATAATGCTTGTTATTCCGATGTGGTTGCGAGGCTGACCCTGCCGCGAATAGCATCTCCCCGAAAGAGCGATTCGATGTCCTTGCCACTTTCCAGGCTTTGGTTGATGATGCTGGCCCAGGTTAGCTTGCTGAGAAAAAACAACGTGGGCTGCTCCGTAGAGGCCAAGATTGGGGAAACTGTGGGGTAATTCCAGGTACGGTTTTCTGAGAAGGGACTAGACTTAGACCGGAACGTGGGGTGAAACTCTTGTTTTCCTCTGACAAGTTTGCCTTCTCTGGATATCTTTTCCGTCTCATCTCTTGCTGTCTCTCTCTCTTTGGAATACGAACACTTGATGATACACAGAAAGAGTTGAACATGTGAGAATGAGGAGCGGCAATCACCGGCACCTCCGCCCTCTCGGTCGGTCAAGTGGATTACCCCAATCCGGCCTAGCCCTGGGCATTGCGCGGATGCGGGGAAGTTGGCCCGCTTGGCGATCCTGTTGCTTGCACACGGCGGCGGCACGCTGTGGTCCCGGGGCCGCGCTGTTCAAGCTTTGTGGACTCTGTGTGGGCTTCTCGATGCCGAGGAAAGGAACCCCCCATTTGAACACGGTTATGCTGGAGATGTGATGTAGGTATGGTGTGCCCCGGACGGCTGGATGTTTTACCTGTTTTTGAGACAGTCATATATATATATATATATATATATGTAACTATACCTCTCCTCTCCTCTCCTCTCCTCTTCCCATCCTCTCTTTTCTGTTGCTGCTACTAGGTATTAGGTGTTCGCTCGCTCGTCGCTGGTTCCCTGCTCCCCCTTTCTCCTTGTCCCCTCGCTGTTGACGTGGTCGTTGGCGTGTTGCTATCGTCTGTTTTTTCACTGGTTTGGTTTTTTTGGTCTCTCGGTCCAACGGCTTTTTCCCCATCTTTGGTTACTACTAGTTCACCGGTGTTTGTCGTTGCTTGGTTCCCATCCGCCGTCACCGTCAACCCTCATCGTCATTCACAATGTCAGGCCCCTCCAACCGCCTCAGAAACGTCCTCGGCCACATCTTTCACTCGGCTACCCCTGAATCAGTACCCCACCACTTCTCCCACCTCTCGCCAACTTACTTCCTCGAACGCGCCGCTGCCATTGAGCCCGATGCCGAGGCCGTCTACCATGTCACAGCCAACAACAAGATCCTCCGGCGGTCCTACATGGAGCTCGCTGACCGTGCCCGTGGGCTGGCGTACTACTTCCGCAAGCATGGCTACAAGCGCATTGGTCTGCTAGCACCCAACACGCCGGCGTTTTTGGAGAGCATCTTTGGGATTGTTGCTGCTGGGGGTGTGATTGTGCCAGTAAACTACAGGCTGAAGCCAGATGATATCACCTACATCTTCGACTTTGCCGAGGTGGACTGCATCATTGTCGACAAGGAGTATGAGAATCTGTTGAAGGCCTTTACAGAATCTCACCCCAATGTCAAAATCATCGTTGATCTTGTAAGCCCCCCACGCTCTCTCATCTCCCATAAAAGCTAATAACTAACACTATCAGGACACCGACACAACAGAAGGCGTCCTCTCCGGCCCCTTTGACGAAGCAGTCCTCGAAGGCCTCATCCTCGACCGCACCACCGGCTCAAAAGGCTGGTCAGACCTCATCTCAGCCCGCGTCCCCGACGAAGATTCCACCATCGCCCTCCCTTTCACCTCTGGCACAACCTCCCGCCCAAAGGGGGTAATCTACACCCACCGCGGGGCCTACCTGGCAACCATGGCCAACATTGTCGAGTCGGGCCTCAACCTCCCAGACGGCAGGTGCAAGTATCTCTGGACCCTCCCCATGTTCCACGCCGTAGGCTGGACCTTTCCCTGGGCCATCACCGCCGTGAGGGGAACCCACGTCTGTCTGAGGAAGATAGACTACCCGCTTATCTGGTCTCTTCTCAAAAACGAGGGGGTCACCCACTTCAACGCAGCACCAACAGTCAACACCCTTTTGTGCGCCGACCCCAACGCCGAAGTCCTCCCCAACCCAGTCCGTGTCACTGTTGCTGCGTCCCCCCCAACAGCGAGGTTATTCGAGCAAATGACCGCGTTAAACCTCTACCCTGTCCACGTCTATGGTCTTACCGAAACATACGGTCCAATCACCAGGGGTTACCTCCTACCAGAATGGGACCTCCTGCCCCCCCACGAGAAGTTTGCAAAAATGGCAAGGCAAGGTCATGGATTTCTTACCTCGCTTGGTGTGCGTGTCATCAAGACGGCAGAGGATGGGAGTAGCCTAGGCGAGGAGCCGGTAGACGTTGCCAAGAACGGAAAGGAAGTAGGCGAGATTGTTTTTGAGGGGAATATCTGCTGCAAGGGGTACTACAAAGACCCGGAGGCGACGAGGAAGCTCTTTGAGGGGGGTGTTCTCCGCTCTGGGGACCTGGCAGTCTGGTGTGAGGATGGGAGTATTTTGATTCAAGATAGGCAGAAGGATATCATTATCTCTGGTTGGTTCCCCCCTTCCAACCCCCCCCCT